AGAAAGCAATAGATTTCTTGCTTCTGCCACAAATTCCCCCAGCTATGAGCCTTCCAACCTTCTAAATATTCCTTTATATGTGGTTCAGAGTTCTGGGACCGTCCCCTGAGCCTGCTTGGTTGGGTATTCTGTGTTGTTGTTGGCGGAGCTCCTTTACTGCACTTCTACCCGATCCGCCATCTTGTTTGTTCTCCCCATGAGTGGCTTTTCATCTAGAACATTGTATTGCTGCTCTTTGGTTTGCCCATGAAAAATCGGATCTGCATCAAAGGTGTTATTCTCCCTCCCTGAAGGAGCCGTAACTTGCTCCAATGCCAAGTCCTCAAGCAATGTCATTAGTAGCATTGGAATGGTTTCTAGGTGTGTGAGAGTAATGGACTGATGGACTGGGCCCCTTCAGCATCTTAGACATAATGTCCCTTAAGATTATCCCTTTAATCTAGGATGTTTGTGTATTTCACCATTTGCTAATGAAGTCCTGTTTAAACCTTTCTTGAAAGAATGGAAATCCACCTTTTGGAAATCTACTCCTAGAGTAACAGTGTGATAACTCGCTACCTGTCATAAATTGACCTTCAGATTACAAGTTTAGAACTGCCCATCTCCCATTAAACTAGTAATTAGTGTTGCATTAAGTTTTCTTTCTGAATCCAAAGTAAAATGTATAGGCTGTTTCCTGCTGGGTTGAAATCACATTGTTTTGCATGCATGTACATAGGACTTTTCATGGTGACTAGGACCCAGAGTGATTAAACAAGCACTCTTAATATGTTAATTTATAATTTTAATTACAACCATCTTGTATATATATTCATTAGTGAATACCAATATAAATATTTTTCTACCTTTTTATTCATAAAGCATAAACCAATCATCCAGTTACTTCTCTGAGGTTGCCTGTTTTGTTTCATAATACAATCTTTGTTCTTAGTTATGAATGCATTTTGTTCGTTCCTGTCTTGAATAATCCCTCATTAAGCCAGTCACTTTTCTGCTCCATGCTAAAAAGGAAAAATTATCATGCAAATGTGGCATGCCATATTAAAAAGCACATTACCAAACACTTTTGTTGCTGTCCTTCAATTAGTTTCCCTTCTTTGAATTTAATTCCATTTGTTGTTAAACTACTGACTTGATGTATGGACTCATGAATCTGAGACTGCTGCCAAGAAAGTGGTTGGGGGGGTGGGAAATCAAAGCGTCTTCGAAGAGCTGCCGAGGCGAGCTGAAATGAATTTGCCTCACCTTTGACAGGAACACTTGAACAGCCCTGGAATCCTCTGATGATTCAACTTGGCTAATTATCCAATTATTTATTTCAAGTATAAAGGCAGTGCTTTAGAATTAAAGAAGTGGAAAGCAATCTGAGAAATTTGGTAATGACAGATGACTAAAGTAACTTCGAAGATAAACAGTATCCGTGCAAACTTGTCTCACCAAGTCAGCAGCATCACTGGAGTGGGAGGGGGCACAGGGGGTATGGACCGTGCTGGGTGACACTGACAGAGAGGGTAATGTCAAAATGACTCTCTATATAGTTTCTGTGCAGCGTTTCAGCAAAAATTTTATTATTTTTTTTTTATAAAAACATTTCTGTAGTTACTTATTATAACTACAGTGTGAAAATATAGAAACATTTTTAGTCAGTCCAGTTTACATGTATCAATATACCTACAAGGCTGAAACTCAATACTGATTTACTTTTGGAACCTTCCTTCTAATGCACTATGGTCAGAGCTGTCATTATTACCTACTTAAAAGGATGTTTGGAATCATGCGGTTTCATCTGTTCACGCTACAAGTATGCACTGTTGTTTTCAGGGCTGCCAGTGTTTTTACATCAGCTGATTTTGAAACTTTCTCTGCTGTTTTGGCTACAGTATTGTGTAATTAGTGTTTGTGGACCTTTATCAATATAATTTTTCAGAATGAAGGGTGACTAAAGGAAAAGAAGAAGACCCATAAAAAAGGCCTCCACGTTGGTACTAATAGGGTTATGACTAATAATGTTTTTCAATGTAGAAGGATTTACAAAATCTAAGAAATATTCCATTGAAGCAATCTATACTGTTTTTATCCCATATTGTTATATGGTTAAAATTGACAAGAAACATGACTAAGAATTCTGTATGGCCTGGTATAGAAGGAGGTTCATGGGGTTGGCGGTGATACCATGGGTTCACACACTTGGTGACACTAACCCTATCAATGTCTCTGAACCCACTGTTCTCAGGCAACAATTCTTTGTGTCAGTGAAATCCAGAGACACTGAAGTTTTTTTGTTTATTTTGCTCTCTCAACAGAAATTATCTTACCCTTTCAACCAACATGTCAAAATTCCGTGGCTCTTAAGCTATGTTTAAGTTGTATTTCTCTTGATTAAAAGCGTTTGGTTCAAAGCAATACTTTTTAATTGCCTAATGATATAAGTCAGTTCTTGGGAAAGAACCGCACATTTAGGAGTTCATTTGCAATATAACTGAAAAATTCATTGCATGGCAGTAAAACAATTTGCTGTTAATTACAAGGAGAAGAATTTGCTCTAGCCTGCTCACAGATTGTCATGAATCACACAGCACTCCTAGAGATTTATAACAGATGTGTAAGTGGGATGAATTAGCAGGGTTTAATAACAGAGACACAAATCATACAGACTTCAAGGAGCTTTAATTGATATACTAGAATGTGACGGGCATGAATCACTCAGCCACTCAACAGCACTGTAACATATGGTCAGCTCAATATGCTGCATCTTAAATCGGTTGGTGAGTCGTTGGTTGTCCCATATGGTGGGAGCAATATATTTTTCATGATTAAAAAAATACATCCATTTTTAAAAGAAATATGATTGCAAAGCATGTTTGTTATTGAACAGTTACCTGAATGCCAAACGGATTTTTTTCCCCAGGACTTTTTTCCTTTCTTCTCCTCCCCTCCCTTTTTTTTCTTTTTTTAAAACATGGCAGCATCCCAAAATAAATAGTGGCTAGTATTTGTAATGCTAGATCCTGGAGGCATTATAAGAACTCAGTGCTTGTTGGCACATTTGATGTCACAGCAAATCCTATAGAAAGTACAACTGATGATAACTGTGATTGTCAGGGAAATCCTTCCGACTTGGGCAAAGAAAACAGAACGAAAGGAATGATGCCAGTTTCAAAAGAAATTCAGAAATGTCCAGATTGACAAATATCATAAAGGGAGTTAACAGAGGAAATTCTTAGTTAGCAGGGTAAAATCTGACACAGCTGATATCATGACCCTCAGAGAAACAATAGTATGGAATATTTTATGCTAACATCTTCATTAAATATTCAATTCTTCACAAGAATTCTAAAGAAAAACACTGGTGGACCATCATCTAGCGGGCAGTGACAATCCCGTGTAATTCCTGGAGAAGAATGTCAGTGTGTGAAGACAGGTATTCTAGTGAAGGTAGGAAGCTGGTAGAGTGCAAGCATATTTGTATTGGAACTGGGATCTGGCAGCTTTTGGAAAAGCTTCCACAGCGTTAGGAAATCTGACAGGCTTGAAAAAGGAATAGTGCAGCCTTAGAACTGTGGCTGCCAGAATTTAATGTCAACAATTAAAATTTATTTTGATCCTTACCTAGTGTTTATTACTGTTTGTATACACAACAGACCTTACTAATACAGAGATGCACTATTAGATGGAATTACCATCTGTTCAGAGTGAAATGCTGGCATCTGTCTTAGGTTCTAAAACTAAAATGATATTATTTCTAACAAAACAAAATTAACTGCTTTTTGCTCACCAACTTTTATGTTGAGTGTATGGATGCACCCAAGGGGGAAAAAAAAAAAAAGGCTTGGCTTGTTTGTGAAATATGCAATGACCTCTGTTGCCAGATTTGTCTTTTGATATGGGACATCAGCAGGAATAATATGGGATTTTTTGATGTACAGAAATGGCAGACAAAAAATACACTTTGTAAAATTCTTATAGCTTTGTTATTGTTGTTAAGTGCTGTCAAGTCGATCCTGACCCAAAGCAACCCTATATAGGGTTTCTGAGGAGCAGCTGGTGAATTTGAACCACTAACCTTGCAGTGCAAACAGCTTTGCAGTCTGGTGCATTAACCCACAGTGCCACACCAGGACTCCTACTTATAGCTTCACAATGTAGTAAATATGTATCACATACTAACATTGTAAAATAATTAAAATATCTAAAGGGCAAAGTAAGCAGAGAGGCTGCAGTGTTTAATATCTTTTGACAGATGTGCTCACAAAAAGGGCAAGGAAAGGAATTAACCCGTTGCCATCGAGTCCATTCCGACCCTGTAAGACATAGTCGAACTGCTCCCATAGGATTTCCAAGGCTGAAGGCATGTCACTGTAGGATAAGCACTGGACTGCAACATTGATTTGAACCACAAGGTGCGTGATTCATACCCACCATCCGCTCCTCAGAAACTCTGTACAGGGTCACTGTGACTCGGAACCAGCTTGATAGCACTTAACCACAACAGCAATAACCTTTGCAGAGATAGATTGTCATACCTTTCTCCTGCAGAATGCTGGTGGTTTTGAACCACTGACCTTTTGGTTTTCAGTCAAGTACTTAATCACCTGTGCCACCAAAACTCCTGAAAGGAAATCAGATAGGCAAAACTCCATCCTGCCCACATTGCTATAGATCCCACAGTGACACCTTTAGGAAAATACAAACTGTGCCTTCTATGCTAGCCTATTTTAACTATCACCACCACTGACATATATAAAAGATTTATATTCAGGCCTCTCCATTTTTTGAAGCTTAAGTATCCTATTAAAAAGGTCTCCAGCTCTCTAAAGTTAGAGATTTTGGAGTATCAAGGACAATGGTAGTTTTAATACTGATGTTAGATCAGTGATGCTTTCTCAGAAGCCAGACTTCAATTCTATATATCACAAAATAATAAATTGTGTCACACCGGCATTTAATGCATGTACACAGTGCATTAACTGTAACTGTAGTACATTTATTTGTGCTGGAGGAGACTTGAAAATGATTAAAAAATCAATACTTTGCTGTCAGAGAAGCAAGTGTTACGATGCATTTAAGTAGTTAATTGTATAAGCCCCATAAAAGCTTCAAGTTTGGGTAGCAAGAATGCCATAATTACAGTCCAAGCAACTACCTTTTATTAATGGTGGACTTTAGGGAACTGTGGTTCCTGTCATCATTGCTTCTATAAGTGCAGTTCAGAAATAATGGATCCTCTTCTTTCTTTGCGCATAGGATGCTAGTTATATGCTAATTATTGATGACCGTCAGAATGATAGCTGGTTAAGTTAGTGTTTGTTCATCAAGGAGGTGATTTCTCTAAGTTCTATAAAAGCAATGCTTTTTGGCTTTTATTATGTCGTAGGACACGTGGGAAAATCATAATATTTAAGTGCCATACTGAGTAAACAATCAAAATGGCTAAAAGCTGAAGGGTATACCTCAGAGACACTCTGTGGCTAACTTCCTGGAAGGCTGAAGGGATCATTATGTCTAGCACTTCTTCCTGGTTCATTAAGAAGCACTGCTTGAAAATGTTTGATCACAGAATTTTAAAACTGGAAGAGTCTTTGACATAATTGTGCCTGTCATGCTCTTTAGTGAAAGAGGTAACTTGAGAAATGCAGAGACCAGATTAAAGTTGCATATAGAGGGACTAAAAAAAAGCCAGTCTAGAACCTAAATTCTTTCCTTTCCACATCAGTTTCCATGAGGCATGTCCTCTCCAGATGGGGATTAGGATACACAAGAAAGTGGGAAAATCTGTTGTGTTTCCCCAGTTAAAGAATAGATGGTCAATAGTGTGGGTTCTCTGGAGTATCACTGTATTTGCTCTTCTAGGGAACAAAGATTATGACAGTTGCTTTCTAACCATCTTTGCTTGCTAGGTGTTCATGAATCCGTTTCTACTCACAGTGACCCTATGCAATGGTTGTTGAGAATGAAACATTGCTCAGTCTTAGGCCATTCTCAACAACCATTGCTAAGTTTGAGCTCATTGTTGCAGCCACTGGCTCAGTCATCTCATTTAGGGTCTTCCTCTTTGTCACTGATCCTCTAATTTACCAATCATGATGTACTTTTCCAGGGACCAGTCCTTCCTGATAATATGTCAGTAGTACATATATTTTCAGACAAAATTTCACCATTGTCACTTCTTAGGAACATTCTGGCTATCCTTCTAAGATGGATTTGTTTGTTCTTATTGTAGGCCATGGTATTTTTAATATTCTTTGCCAACACCAAAATTCAAAGGCATCAGTTTTCCTTATGCATTGTCCAGCTTTCTCATGCTTCATAATTGAAAATATGAAGGCTTAATCCTCAAAGTGACATTTTTGCTTTTGAACACTTTACAGAGGTCTTTTGCAGCATATTTGATCAATGGAATACATGTTGTTTGATTTCTTAAATGATGCTTTCATGGGCGCCGATTGTGCATCCAAGAAAAAAGAAATACTTGACAGCATAAATATTTTCTCCATTTATCATGATGTAGCTTATTGGTCCAGTTGTGAGGACTTTCTTTCTTTTTATGCTGTGGTGCAATCCATATTGAAGCTATATTCTTTGATTTCCATCATTAAGCACTTCAAGTCCACTTCATTTTCAGGAAGTAAGGTTGTGTTATGTGTATGAGTTTTCCTCCAATTCTGAAACTGTGTCCCTTTTTATATAGCCCAGATTTGGGGATTATTTGCTCATCACACAGACTGAGTATGGTGAAAGAATATATACTTGATGCACCCATTTCCTGATTTAAGCTATGATCCGTCTTGCTGTGGCACTGAAGGATAAACATTTGACCATAAGGTCGTTTTAAACCCCAAGGTCAGCTGTTCAAACTCATTAGCCTCTCCTCAGAAACTCTATACAGGGTCACTATGAGTTGGAACTCACTCTACATCACCTAACAACAACAACAATTCTTTAACGGGGGAAAGAAGAACTCTGCAGAGAGATAAAGAGAAATAGAGAGAGAGAGTTTAATTTACTTTAAAGAAATGGCTCACACAACTGTGAGGGCTGACAGGTCCCAAATCCATAGATCAGGTGTCAAACTAGAGACCTCTGCGTCACACTATGGCTGTTGTTGTATACTCTAGAGTCATTTCTGACTTATGTTGACCCTATTGAACACCGTGGAGTCCTAGTGTGGCACTGTAGGATAAGCACTGGATGGCTAATTGCAAGGTTGGCAGTTCAACTCACTAGTCGCTCCTCGGAAACCCTATACAGGATTGCCATGAGTCCAAATGGACTTTTCAGCATTTAACAACACAATAATAAGACCAAATAAAACTGCCTCATAGAGTTTCTAAGGCTGTATTATTTATGGAAGCAAACTGTCATATCGTTCTCTCTCTTTCTCCCATGGAATGCCTGGTAGATTGTGGTGAAGCTAAAATCTGCAGGAAAGGTGGCAGGTTAGACACTTCTGCAGGCTTATGTCTCAAGAAAAGAGCCCTGATAGCACAGTGGCTAAACATCTGCCTGCAAAGCAAAAGGTTGGTGGTTCTAACCCACCAGTAACTACATAAGAGAAAGATATGACAGCCTGCTTCTGTAAAGATTGTCGTTAAGTGCTGTCGAGTCAGTTCCAACCCATAGCAACCCATTATAAGGTTTCCAAGAAGTGAGTGATGAGTTTGAACTGCTGACCTTGTGGTTCTAGCTGACCTTGCAGTTCTGCACTTATCCTACAGTGCCACGCAGCCTTGGAAATCCTATGCAGGCAGTTGTACTCAATACTACAGTTTTTCTATGCGTCCAAATCGATTTCACTGCCATGAGTTTTATGTCTCAGGAACTGAGGATCACGTGAGGAGAAGAATCCCAGGTCATAAGTAAGGGAGAGAGAGAGAGCAAGATTGGCTGAGAAGAGTGAGTGATCTCATCAGATCGTATTATGGAAGGTAATTGCAGTATATTACATTATGAGAGAGCTACAATAATGTCTGTCAAACCTGTGAGAATCATAGCCTAGCCAAGTTGACACATGACATTAATCATCACTTCAATGTTGAATGGCATCCGAGAGTTTGTATGGAGAATCCTTTCTCTTCTGGGGACCCACTGATGAGCAGTTGTAGCAGTGCAGTTGCAAAATGGGAAATTGTGGCTGCATGTCTGTGGATTACTATTCTGTGTTCCATCTCCAGTGCCATTTTGCAAGAGTTTATCTTAGCAGTATTTGGACTTTGCATTCTCAGCAGTAGTGTGCATTGCTGAGAAAAAGTCAAAGTAATTGACAATTGACAAGTGTGTCTTATTTTAGACTGCTCCTCCCCCAATACCCCTGAAACATGGAAACACTGTTTATTCCTGGATTTCTGTTTTCATAACAGAAAGTTAGTCATGATTAAGATACTGACACATTCATGTAGTCTTCATAGACAATAAACACCTCTTTGAAAACAAATGAAGAGATTGTGATTTTAAATGCCAGTGCATTAGCGAAAGCTCCTGCTCATTTCATATCCATTTCTTATTCTATGATGCTCAAAACTCCACACTACATAAATTTTGCAAGAGTAAATGTACTCATTATGATATGCTATTAATCAGATTATAATGTCATAAATGTTGCATACAGAAGAATGTATATTATCAGAGAGTTTTTAAAATACTTTTTTTAAATGGCAGATCTAGACTAGAAATTGGATTGTTGTAATATTGCAAAAATGTACAAGAATATTGCTATTTTATTCCTATTGAAACAGACTTTTTATGTTGTTATTCTTAGAAATGATAGATGCTGAGGATCTACTTCATGCTTTATATTTACAAAAGGATTTTTTAAAAGTGAATATGGGTAGTTTTTTTGAAGTTTTTATTGTGAATTGAGTGTTAGTTCACATGGGAGAACATCAGCTTTACACTCATCCTATCGTATTTTGTTTCAGTGCAATGATTACAATCTCCTCTATGCATCATCATTCAACAGTATTTCCTTCTATTCCCTCTGTGTGTTTTTCTTTGGATGTACACCAAAACACAGGAATATATAATCATTCAAACAACCAAAGGGCATACCCCGCAAGCCTGCACCCTCCCCCACTCCCCCTCACACTCCTCCAGTCACCAGCACACAGCCCCTCTCCCTCCATGAGTCTAATGTCTCCAGCTGCTCCATCTCTCCACATCATCATGCCTGCCTCCATTTTTTGCGTCACTGCTTCTCTGAATAGGGTCCCACACTCTGCTCCCATTCTTCTCCCTTTATGATCCCAGGGTCTTCTGCCCCTGGACTGCAAGATCAACTACTCCCATCTTTTTGTTATAAAATTATTGTTACATTTGCAACAATAACAGTCAGTCCGGATAACAATTACTCACTTTGATCCACAACAGTCTTATCCCCTTCTCCCTTCACCAGCCCTGTCTAGACATGTTGAAAACCACTCAATGGGGATTCTATCTTCCCCTGCACCCTCTGAAACTAAAGTCTGTCTTGAAACTTGTAAGCCAGTCATTTCATGCCTTTATAGCCCCTCCATTTTAGGTAGCCAATGTCTAAGTTGCCCATCCCTGTCAACCCTGTGTACAGAGGGGATGGTAATGATCCTCTCTGTGAATATTCCTTCCCTCTTTTAAGCTACTATAACCTTAAGTATAAGTTAAGTTTATCAAATTGTAGCAGATTACACTTTTTTCTCTTCTTTCTTCCTCTAGTCGAGAGTTCTGATCATCCAGTCATTGAAGCTAGGTCACATGGGTACTATCTGCAAGTATGGGTGTCCTTGTGCATCTCCCCTCACTTCATATCAGCTGGACACTTCACTATCCGCTCTAACCCTCTGTGGCTATGTCCCTGTCCATGGGCTCAGGAGTCCTCAGGTCTCACCATACTGCTGGTCAACCAGGTCTCATTCCAGGTTGATGGGAGTCTATTGAACATAGTTGGAGTCAGCCCACATCTTCATTGTTGCTTTTCCCCCACTTCCCCTTATTGGTAGACCAACGTGGTCACCAGCAAAACTACATACCTGATCATGTATTCCATTTGAGTTTCAGTCTTAAAAGGGGGTTTGCCTTGGAGGGACTTGATTGCTTGCCTTGTTGGCTCCACGGGAACAACTTGCTTGTTCTTGTACTAGTCAGTCAGACTGCTGTTTTTGTTTTTGATTTTTCCTGCTGATCTTTTTTCCAGAAGTATCTTCTGTTCCTCTAACTGCTCCAGGCTGGTCTGTTTGTCTTTTCAAGTGTAAATTTCCCACCTAAGAAGATTCTGGATGGGGATCAGGATTCCACCTAAGGTCTTATACACTACAAAGGCTCCGCAGGAAGCCTCTTTCACTGGGCAAGTTCTAGCACCCCTTTTAGGCATTTCCATTGGTTATAGGCTGAAGATGGACTTACAAGCTTTCTATACACATGTTTCTGGCTATTCCTTTCTTTCCCACTCAAGTGTCTATTTTATAATAGTAGGCAAGGGAAATCAAGATTTATAAGACAGTCAAGCATCTTAATATTCTTTCACCTCTTTTACCCATCCAGACTGTGCCTCAATCCCTGTATCACAGAGACCAGTTGATCCAAGGTTGAACATACGTCACTATTTACCTCCACCCCATTTAGCCCATGCAAACCTGCGTACATGTTCTATCTGCCTTGTTCTTCCATTCCCATCCCCCTTCTTGTGTACTGCTTCCCCCCCACCCCAAACCCAAACTGTCGTGTGTCTATTCTCTACCCTGTGCTCTCTCTACCTTCCCCTCCCTCCCACACACATCCCCCTACAAACCTGGTAACCAATAAAGAATTTTTCCCCCTTTTTATTGTGGGTATTTTTTTCTCAAGCATTTACAATAATGATCTTATGCAGTATTTCACCTTTTGTGACTGACTAATTTCACTCAGAATAATGTCCTCAAGGTTCATCCATGATATGTGGTGGCTTACAGCTTCCTTGTTATTCTTCAAAATAGCATAATATTCCATTGTGTGAACTCACCAAAGTTTGTTTATCCATTCTTTCATTGATGGGCATTTAGGCTGTCTCCATCTTTTTGCTATTGTGAATAGTGCTGCTATGAACATTGGTGTGCATATATCTACTCGTGTTACGGCTCGTATTTCTTGGGGATTATACCAAGTAGAGGAATTGCTGGATCATAAGGTATTTCTATTTCCAACTTTCTGAGGAAGTGCCATCCTGTTTTCCAGAGTGGTTGGACCATTTTTCAATCCCACCAGTAATGTAAAAGAGTCCCAGTCACTCCACATGCTCACCAGTGTTTGTTGTTCTCTACTTTTTTGAACTTTGCTGTTATTGCTGGTGTGAGATGATATCTCATTTTTGTTTGGATTTGCATCTCTCTAATGGCTAATGATCCTGAATATTTCTTCATATGTTTGTTGGCTTTCTGAATGCCTTCCTTGATGAAGTGTCTGTTCATGTCCCGTGCCTCTTTTTAAAATGGGTTGTTTTTCTTTTTCTTGTAGAGATATTGTAGTTTCCTATATATTTTAGAAATTAGTCCCTTGTCTGATACATTGTTGCAAAATATTTTTCCTATTTTGTGAGTTCCCTTTTTATTCTTTGCTGAAGTCTTTTGATGCACATATGTTTTGAATTTTTAGTATGTCCCAATAATCTATTTTTTTGTCTTCTTTTGTTTGTGCATTTCTCACAATGTTTGGTAGTCTTTGTGTGCCCTGTATTAGAGCCCTCACATTTGTCTCTATTTTTTCAATGATTACCTTTATAATTCTGGGATTCACATTTAGGTCTTTAATCCATGTTGAGTTGGGTTTTGTATATGGCATGATGTAAAGGTCTTGTTTCAATCGTTTGCATATCAATTTCCAGTTCTGCCAGTATATGGGTAGATTTTTAATGTAGATGAATTTTATCCTATTATAGAATATCTTTTGAAAGATGTATTATTGGCCTATAATAATAGGAGCTCATATTTGTTTAGAAATTTGTTTCATAAAACCTAAAGTCACCACTAGTCTATAAGCTCATTGTAAGATGGTGGCTTGTACGTTATTAAGATACTGGAAACTATGCCACTAATATTTTCAGTACCAGCTAGGTGACTCAGTACACAGGTTTCAGTGGAGCTTCTAGACTAAGACAGAGATGGAAGAAAGGCCGGGTGATCTGCTGCTCGAAATTAGCCAATGAAAATTTTACACAGAACAACAGAATAATTTTCTATATAGTGATGGAAGATGAATATTTCAGGGTTGGAAGATACACAAACATGTAAAACTCATGAAGATGATCCAGGAACAGGCCAAGTTTTGTTCTTCTATAAGAAACATCACCCTGCATCACTTGATGGCAACTAACAACAACAAAACCAAAAGCAATTGTGTACATGATTTGAAAAAATAATTGTGAAGAATTTCAATGACAATTTGTAATCATTTCATAGCTGGGGTAACTGAGGCAAATGTATGTTGTGAGTTTCTACAATCTTGCAGCTGGAAATTAAAAAGTGAAATATCCTTTCCATTATGCCGTCTTACAATTTACCCTTGTAATTAATAAAACTCCATAGATCATAATTATTTGTACTTATAATCTCTTCACTTCAATACTCTGACAAATCAGTCTTCATTAACTCTCAGTGATTGTGTGTGTCTATGTGTATTCTCTTCCTTTCTTTTTTCCATTTCCCTTTCATTCATTCCTTCTTCCTCCTCTCCCTTCCTCCTCTCCTCCCTTTCTTGTTTTCTATGTAACAGAATAAAAAATATATGCTTGATTTCCACTCATTCTCTGAGCTGACTTCCTAAAACAACCTAATTGCTTGGTGGAATAATTTCCCTGTGAATTGGAAAGACATGCTCTACTACCCAATTGAGTTCAGACAGTCATCACTAATTTGAATGGACTCTCAGCCTAAAGTGCCCATATTTATTACAATTTTGCCAACAGATATTTAAAACTAAAAAAATTGTTTGCACCCACACAATTAGTAGTCACCATGACTACAGGCTAACCCATGATGATTCCATGTTTGTAGAGTACAAGTGTACTCTTTTTCAAGACGCTGAACTTTTGGAAGCAAACCAATAGGCCTTTCTTCAGAATTACCTATGGGTGAGTTTGAACATTAGCCTTTTGGTTAGTAGTCAAGTGCTTAACTTTTGTCCCATCCAGGGATTCTT